GCTTCACACTGCATCGTTTCGCATTTCACCGTCCTCTAGTGGAAAGTTATTAAGACGGCATTCCTATCTAGCGAATCGTTCCAGTCATCCCGCATTACCCACGTCCATCTCGAATCCTACGTGTTCCGATTATCCATTGCAAGCATCCAGCGGATTCTATCGTGAATCGAGTATGCCTCCGCTCACCACCATATCCACGTCTAATCATCACACTTACAATGTGCCGACCGCAGCAGCCGTCGGTTCCGGTGTGCTTCAGTCGATGAATCGCCCTTTGAATGCTGCAGATTTACGCTCGATGCCTAGTGCGTGTTTCACTGCTGAACAAATGCCACCACCACCACCATCGTCACACTACTCACCGATGACTGCAGAGGGTGACATCGGCTTTGGCGCTGCCAATATGGCTAGTAGCGATAATCGCATCATCCATCCGACTGCATTTCCATGTTCAACGTCGCAACAACCGGCTCGATTNAGTGGTTCAATGACACCGCTGTCGAAACGCAGAGTGCGATCGTCGACAATGAAACGACCGAAAAGTGCCATCCAAATGATGGCCTCAGGTCATGGCTCCTCGGACTTTTACGGCACCGGAACCTACGGAGGTTCACAAGCGTCAGCAACGATTCATTCATTGCATTCTCTGGATTCCGTGCAGCCGTTGACGATCAACAAGGAGGAANCTGGTTCTGTGTGAAGAGGATACAATTTTCAGGGAAATTTTCAAGTTCAAGGTTTTTCATTATGTTTTATCTACCTATAGACACATTGAATCACATCTAGCTATGAACATTGATGATGCTCACTAATAGAAGTTACAGTTGATTCGATGAATTATCAGTTCTGTTTGCAACTTCATTCGACTTATTCGAATATCTCTCAGTTTCTCATTAATATGATCATTGACTTTCACTAGGATAAGAGATTTCCTGTCATAGAGCGCTTTTAAACTGACATTTATTCTGGAATCAAAACGGGCCTGATTATGATGTTCCCGGCAGACATCACGATTCATAATATATCAGTAGCGCTCAAAATGTGATCTCGTACTGAATTCCTTTCGCTGGATCTCTGGATTAATTTTTCAGCTACTACATCATTTACAAAATACTAGCTATGAGATGCAACTAAACGCTTTATATGATGGATTTTTAACACCTTAGGATCAAACAGTCATATATCAGCTATGCAGCACTCTGAATATCAGTGATCTGAATGGTATCATAGCCACTGATTAGGTCAGATGCTCCCACAACTTTTGTCTGATCATCACATTTCGTATGCTTGAATGACCAGGTGTCAGGTGTCGTCACTTAATCACACTAGCTGTCGTAAGGACTGCAGTTCAATTGATAGCGCATGACTCTTGAAGCTTCACCTTGCTTAGGCTATTGTATAGCAATACCTGTAATCACTTCGCTCCACCCGTGCATTCCGTAATTTCAATTCAAATAAGGCAAGTTGCAAGAGCAAACTAGTAAACTACGGTAAGCACCGTATTGTGGAGATGACACAGTTATACGTCTATTACTGATGTCTTTTGCACTCCATTAAGAACTTGTTTCTCTTATCAGTATTACTAGTGACCATTGCAAACTGTAATTTTTTGAAGAAATTTTCGAAAATTCTCAGAAAGCGTTCATCTACTTTGACTGCTTTGCACTTATTGTTTCAGTTGTTGTTGTTTTCAAATGTATACGTCGAACAGTTACAGTTCATTTTCAATTGGTATTTAATTGCTCTGCTCCTTTGATCAACTTTTTAAGAAACTCATTAACAAATTGAGCGCAAAGTTGTTGACGATCAATTTTTAGAGTGATTTATCATTTCTCTTTGAATTCAGTCGTCTTAGATTTCTCGCAAACAGCTTCTTCTTCGTATGCATTCAGTTTAATCATCATATCCTTGAAAAATCATACGTCAATTGTTGATTGCGTTCGTTTTGCATCGGAAATTGGACGCGAATCAGTCAAATATTGAGAACAACCTCAATTGAGCTATAAATACTTACTAACATTGCATATTTCTAAAAATCGGATCATTCATGAATTTTTCGAAATCGTTTTTCAGTTCTTCCGGTAAGGCTCAGTTGTAAGCATATGACGCAATTGTAACCACATGTTATGTTTTTATGTTTTATTTTCGGTTGCATTACGCAATTATTTAATGCTTTTTGTTAATTGTAAACATAAATCACTGGGATTTTTT